GAATTCATTTTCTATTTGATTCACGTGCTTTTCCCAAGACACACCTTGCCTGTTTAAAATAATCCATCTATTTCTGAGTAAGACCCGCAAGCACTGCCATGACAGCATGATGCATGCGCCAGGTCTGCCAGCATGAATACTGTTGCCTAGTAAGGGGAAAAAACTTTGTTGTAGCAGCAGTCCTAGGCTGCAGTGAGAGCATGTGTGACCAGTGTGCAATAGACCCCGATATAACCTACAGGCATAGTGAATTATCAGTTCTAAAAACAAAACACTACCACCTAAAAGGAAAGAAGCAAGGAGGTCCCTGGAAGCATGGGCGATTATCATCAAGAGGAGAGCATTGGTTTGTTCTAGGCTTCCGCAACCTGCCCTTCCTGCTGCACACCTTCCTCGCAGGAGAGCCTGCAAAGCAGCTTCAAAATGTTCGAGGAAAACGCTCCTGAAGCACGTTTCCTTTCAGAAATACCAACGGCCAAGAAATATTTGAAAAGATGCTTCCTATTGCTAGCCATCAGGGAAATAACATTAAAACCACTTCTCGCTGCCAGAATGGCTCAAACCCCAAACACACAGAGTAACAAATGTTGGTGAGGATGTGGGCAAAGGGGAATGCTTACGCATTGTGGTGGGAATGTAAATTACTGAAATTCCCATGGAAAAACATGTGGAGATTTCTTGAAAAACCCGAAATAGACTTGTTGTGTTATCCAGCAATCCTACCACTGGGTATGTACGCACAGCGAACCAAACACCTGCCACAAGGTGCTTATGGCAGCCCTGCTCTCAAGAGCCCAACTTTGGAGCCAACCATGGTGTCCCTCAGCAGGTGAACGGATAAAGCAAGTGTGATAGACACACACAACAGGTTATTAGTCGACTATTCTACCATCTGCCGCAAATATGGACTGAACTGGAGGACATTGTTTTGAGTAAAATAAACCAGACCTAGAAACACAGATATGGCCTCTTCTCCCGTATATATATGGAAGGTGAAATTTAAAAGCAACTGAAAAGTGAGAAAAAATACATAAATGCCCGTGCATATCAATCAGTATTGCTGTAAATTCAGTTTTGTAAAACCTTTGTAAAGCAAGTGGTTAAGAATGTTATACTGCTCCAGTTTTAATTGTCTCTGACTATAATTTACTGCATATGGGTGACATGACAGTTTTGCTATTTTTCTATTCAACTATTGCATATAACCATTGTTCTTATTACTTTATTCCCTCTAAAATTAAGGTCTTTTTGCTTTTTGACTTGCTAAACTTATTGAAAAAATGCTGGCACATTTTTATCATAAATTTGTTTTCAGAAATGTTCCATGCTTAGTTTTTTCATAAAATGCATTTACATGATATTTTTGAAGTTGTGTATGTGTATGGAGGGGGAATGTGTGTGCAAAGATTTTTCTCCCATTCTATTGGTTATTTCTCCTCTTTGTTGATCATTTCCTTTGCTGTGTCCAATCTTATTCTGAATTCCGTTTGTTAATTTCTGCTTTGACTGCCTATGCCCTTGGTGACATTTTTAACAAGTCTTTACTGATCCTGCATCTTGCAGAGTGCTTTCTATGTCTTGCTCTAATAGTTTGATTGCTTCAGGGTGCAGATTTGGGTCCTTGATCCACTTAGAGTTGATTTCTGTATAAAGTAAGAGACGGAGCTCTTGGTTGGATATTATCTCCCATCTACCAACTACAGCCACTAGGAAGCAACAATCCAGCCCCTGGAGGGAACAAGACACCCAAGAGAGCAGTCGGGGTGCATCCTGGAATGTCAAACTGTGAACCCTGTTCCTAGGCCAGAGCCTGTGAACAGACGTCCCACCCTGGACCTGCCTCAGTCCCAGGTGAGCCCATGGTCTCAGTCCGTTGAACTCACAGACCGGTCAGCACTGACTGACATTGTTTGCAGCAGTTTCAGACAATAGACAGTCCATGGGACAGTGGACCTTGGCTGCACCCTATAATGCCCTGGTCTTGGTGAGCTATGAGTTCTGGGTATGTTCTCTGCATTGCAGTATTGGTGGTCATAGAATAGCTTACTTCATTCCACCCACACTCCCAGATGGCATAACATGCAGAGGCTAATCTGGGAGAAGAAAAGAGTGCTGGGAGCTAAGACACCACATAGGATCATGGGGCTGCACCACAGTGATCTGTGTGCCCCTAGAGATTTGGGGTCAGATATCAGATGATGGAACAAAAGCAGAAAAACACTGTGTGATATGAACAAGATGTTCACTGAAAGCACAGCAATCCTGGAAGAACCCAGCAGAAATCCTGCCAATGAAGGGCTCAACAGATCAAATTTACAAAATGTCCTTTAAAGGAGCAGGTGGCACTTGGTGAACTTCAGAAGGCCCAGAAACCTGGAGGAGAGAGCAATGTGGGAGATGGAGCTTCAGAGAGCTGGGAGAACAACAGGCCTCATTGTCTTACCTTTGGATTTTATGAAAAATAGAAAAATAAGTCGCTAGCAGAGATATGATCTGTCTTAAATGTCTTTAAAACACGACTTTGGCTGCTGTATAAAGACTAGACAATTAACATTGTCATGGAGATCTCCCTACCTCCCCAAACTCCCCTCTTTTGGTTGTTGGTAGTTACAATTATGCCAATGGAGAAGGAACTAGAGACAATACTCAAAAGTTGATATTGCCGGGAAAGCCGATAATTTGTATGCACTAGGATGCAAGATCCATTACTCCGTCTTTTCTAAAGGCCGTTTTTCACAGCTGGGAGGAAAGTCGACATGCAAATAAAGAAACTAGCTCAGAGGAAAAGCAGTGAAAGTGTGGTCCCTGTACAAACTTCATCTCTGACACAATTGCTTCTAAGAGCACTCTCCCTTCCATGGGCTTCCCTGGGGGTGATGCTGTTCTGTGAAACCGTGGAAGTTAAATCCATGGAAGTTAGCTGAGATGGGAGCGAAGCTGCAGGACACTGGAGCCACAATGTCGAATTGATTGCAACCTGATAGCTTTCATGGCTATAAACAAACTGCATGTCTAGATTTTTAGCCCATCTTGTTCCAGCTGTGGCATACTCTTGCAACCAAGCGAATTTCCATATTCCTTGGGTTTCTGTCTTGCTCATTCTGGCTCTAGATGTCCAAAAAGTGGACCTGAGGTTGCTGGCCAGATCCTCTGCTGCTCTTGGGACCACCTCTGCTGCGGTCGCACTCCAGTGAGGAGGCATCCCATAGAAAATTCCCTCTTCCAAGCACCGACTTCCCGCAGCAAGCGGCAACTCTGTGGAGCCTTTTGCTTGCATTCCATCCATCAGGTGAGTAGAATGGGGCTTCTGGGTATTATGAAGAAAACTCATTTAGTGAAAATCATGGCAACTGACTTAAAGGGTCATCAGTCAGCAGAGAGATCAAAAGTGTAGCCGACTCTCTTCCAAGAAAAACAAACCCAGGGATGACATTTTCACTCAGGGGGTCAATTCTTGTTAATAATTCAGTGGCAATAATAGTGGGAGGAACAAATCACTGGTAATTCTGAGAAAATTTTTGTCTTCAGAATGTGGTATCTGCATCTATATCTAATCTCTATCTCTATATCTATCTATATCTATATATCTGTATCTATATCCATAAATACAATATATACAGCAAGTATCAAAATAGTGTGTCTTGCCAGAGCTTTAAAACCAATTATTGATAGAGAAAAATCAGCATAGCGACATTCTAGGGAGTAAGATGCTATCTGATATTAATCTGTAAGTGAATATCCAGAAGATATTCTCAACAAACATTTAATCGAGCAGTTATTTCTCTTGCTTGTCAAGAACAAGTAACACTACTAATCTGGTGGGGCCAGGAGGATGGGTACTCTGACATTCATGAGATGTGCGTGCTGTGTTTGCTGGGTTTACAGCAAACACCCGAGTTCAGGTTAGAATGCTGTCACTACAGCAGAGTAACAAGCAGAGAGCAATAGACTTCTGGGAAAGTCAAGGGTGACTTTATTACAAACAACAACTGTGGTACTTGAAGGATGGGCAGAGAGAAAGACACACATGTTTATTTTTTGTTTGTTCATGTGGAAGTTAATTTCCTTATTAAAGATATTCTTCATCATTCTGTGGAATGATCAGTGCTTATACTGAAAAGCATCCTAACTGGATTCAACACTGATTTTTGCAATTAACATAAAAGAATCATCCAAGAGACCATGAATGTAGCCAAAACTCAGAAGCGTAAAGGGATGGTATCCTGGGTGTGACCAAAGGACTTTTGCCTAGTCATGCCTCTTGGGAGGAGGACAGATTTGCTCTTAATAGCTCTCCAATCTTCCCCCATTTCTTCTGGTTACTTCTTTCCCACTGATTTGTCCAAAGTGTTTTTTTTTTTTAAATAAAGGTCATTGATGAGTACTTCCTTATTTGTGTTTTTTTTTGGGGGGGAAATTTGTCTAAGGCACCTACCACAAACTCTTAAACTTTTATGCACTGTGGGTGTATGCCTTGGAGTTGCTCACTGTCCACTGAGAGATAGAAGAGTTCCCATTTTGGGGCTCACCTTGGCCAAACGTCCTTGGCAACATCTGGCCTCGGAACCTCTCATTGTACCCCATAACATCAGCCATTAGTTAACCCATCCTAAAGGAGCTGGTTTTAACTAAGTGGCAAGAACTAAAAACTCATCTTTGCTAAAATTTTGATACTTGAGAGGATTAATTAGTTTCCTCTCACCTCCTTATTTGCTCTTCACAAGAAACAATGCTAAAGAAGTAAACTGTTACAGTAGAATTCCATTCGTTGCACACACCTAGACGGAGGGTCATAGGTTTTTATCATTTATGTCTCATTCCACGGACTCTGCTTTCTTCCAAGACCTTTCCTGGCCCCAGGCACAGTGAGATCAGAGGAGAACCAAGGGGCCTATTCCAGTAATTCCTCCTTGAAGATAGGGACCAGATGTGAGAAGCCAGGGCAACCTCTGACATGGCACCATGATCTTGTATCAAAATAATGAGTGTTTGTTGTTTAGAACCACTGGAATTCTGACAATTTATTGCAGCAGCAACAACAGAAAACTAGCAAGAACACAAAGCACATTGAAGGCCCATTGCAAATACTTGGTCAAAATGAGTTGATGCTATGGGCTGTATGCACATCCCCGTGTCTCTCCACAGGCGGAACAAGAAGCCTCAAGGATGCAAACTGTTATGTAGGATAGAGTTCTGGTCGGCGTCATCAGAGGCATAACATGGTGAGAACAGAGGTCAGTGAGGTAAACCTAGGTTAACCAACAAATATTCGAAGGTCAAAGAACACAGCACAACTAGATTTGGCTTTTTAAATACCACTGCGTTTAACAGGAGGCATTTCAGTGGAGCACGGCATTTCAGTACTGAACCTGGGTCACCTTATGATTGGAAGTAAGGCATTATGGACCAGGACAGGTGGGGCAAAGAAGCACTTTCCAACTTGTGGGTCCAAGACTGTTGGAATAGCAACTTAATTAATGAGAGTAACAAGTTTATGTTGACCATTTAATTAAGGGAAAATCAGGAGCTTGTACTGTGTCCTCTCTCACTGTGTCCTTTCCTGCAGAGAGAATGCAGAGCAACCTTGCACTGGAACATCCCACTGGACACCTCCTAAGCATGTGTGATATGATGCTCAGAATCCCGTTAGAGCCAACACATTTATCTGATGCTGCTGGGTGTGGTGGCAGAATTGGGAATTGGCTTGAACTGCAGCAAAAGGCCTCAGGCAGGGTTAGCTGCCACAGGGCAGCTCACATCCAGCGACTGGTCAATACGGGAGTAAAAGCTCCTTCACCCATCCCCAACTCAGAGAGCGTCCCGACCTGCCAGCTCTGTGGGTCCACCCGAAGCTTAGAGCGTCCCGACCTGCCAGCTCTGGGGGTCCACTCGAAGCTTAGAGCGTCCCGACCTGCCAGCTCTGGGGGTCCACCTTTTGTTGGGAAATCATGCTGCTAGGTTTCTCCCTCTGTCCAGTTCTGCTCCTTTCTTATAGAACTGTTCTCAACATAATTCCCTAGTCAAATCTTGCATGCCAATTTTCAAGTTCACTCTCTCTGACACCCCACCTGTGACATTACCTTAATGTTGTGTTGACAATGACATCAGTAAATAGAGGTCGGATGCTGCTATGCTTTGAGTATCCCCATCAGAACCCATACAGAAATTGAACTCTTTGTGAATTATTAGGAGGTTCGGTCTGCTGGGGTCTTTAAGAGGTAATTAGGTCATGTTACCCTCATGAAAGGACTAACTTATTCTTGTATTCACGTATTAAAGGCTAACACTTTATCTCACCAAATAATGCCATGCACTGTTTTAGGACTTTGTAGAGTCTCCACCAGCAGGAATCCCTCATTGGGGGTAGCCATCTGAGCTTGAATGTCTTAACATCCAGAATCAGAGCCAAATAGACCTCTTTGCCTTTCTATTTGCCAAATCTCATATATTATTTTACAGCAACAGAAAAAAAAAGACAGATGCCCCAAGAACACACAGAATTCCCCTCCTATGAAAGATTGGTAAGTTGATTTGGATCACCAGGAATCAACTGATAAACCACAACTGAGGCACATTCTACAAAATCATTGTGTTACGGTCTTCAAAAATGTCAAGGCTAGGCCAGTGTTGTGATGAAGTGGGTTAAGGCAGCCAGCACTAATGGCTCTAGCATGTTCTATGGTGCCAGTTTGTGCTCAAGCCATTCCACTTCCAGTCAACCTGGGGAAGCAGTGACAGAAGGCACGACTGTCCATGTCGGAGATCTAGAGAAAGTTTCAGGCTCCTGGCTTCGCCCTGGCCCTGCCTTGACCATGTGGTTGCTTGGGGTCAGACTCCTGGATGTGGGATCTTGCTCTCCACATCTTTCTCTCTCTGTAACCCTGCCTTTCAAATGAGTAAGTGAATCTCAAAAGGAAAGCCACACAAATCCACAGTGTTCAAATCAAAGAAAAGGGAAAAGATGAGACATGAAAAGTGGGTCAAGATCCACTAGCTGTAAAGACATTAAGACAATGGGTGAATCTCAAGTGTGTTGTGATTAGATGGTCACAAAGTATCGTGTGAATTTCTGGATTTTGATGGGTACTCAGAAGAGTGTCTTTGCTTATTGGAAATATTAGCATGCTCAGGAATGAATTCAGGTCCCATTGACCACTGTACTAGTCATGAAGACAAAAGTTCTTCACAGTGTTTTTGTAAATTTTTATAAAATAAAATTTGCTTAAACATTTTTAAAAACTTCAAAAGGCAAAAAGTAATCTATACATCTTCTATTTGTGTGTGTATCCTGTGTATCTATGCCTTCCCTGTGGTTTTTTTTTTAAACATTAGTGACACAGGTCTTTAAGTTTACTAAAATGGGCAAGTTTCTTTGTTTCAGAAATTCCTCAAAAGTTTTTGTTAGGACTATGGGTTTAAGTCCTGTGACTCTGCTTTTGTTCCAGTTCCCTGCTGGAATGCCTGGGAGGCAGAGACGATGGCTCAGGTGCTGTGACTACCTGTGTATGAGACCCAGATGGAGTTGTTTGCTTCTGGCTTCAGCCTGGTTCAGCTCTGATTGCTGCAGCCATTCTGAAGAGTAAACCAGAGAGAGAAGATTTCTGTCTACCTCCTCCCGCTCTCCACCTCTGTCATTCTGCTTTGAAATAAATACACAAATGTATCAAGATGTGTTAAAGGGCTACACTTCACAACATTCAATCTGTGACCTACTCTAAAAAAACACAAGAGTGAATGGGAAGAATTACAACATTGGCTAATAAATGCAGGCATACCCCAGAGGCTGGAGGGGTGGTTAGGAATGTGGCTACTTGGTAAATTACTGAAGCAGGAATGACTGAAGGCTCCAAGAGCCCCCATTGCTCAAGGAATCTAGGGAAAATGAGGCAGAGAGAGAAAAACACCTCACTCTCACTTCTGAAAATGATTACCTTTTGTTTGTGCCCTGAATAACCAGGACTGTGATTTTTTTTTTCTCTTGAAATCTTTGCTTGATGACTATAAACACCAGTGCTGTCTTTATGAATCATCTTTATTTTTAAAATTTGGCTAACACTCCGCACAAGTGTCTCTGACATGTTTAAAGCAATGTGTTTCACAAATATGAGAGTTAGAGAAGATGGAAATGATGGAAATGAAGTCATGAGCCGGAGTGTCATTTTCTATCACTTAGAAACATGTTGCACAAATACAAAAGTTGTTGGCTGGAAAACGCCACCCTAGCTGTCTCCTTGACTCCATTTCCGTCATTTTTAGTCATAGCAACATTGCTTCCACCTCCCCTGGTGAAATTAATTGATCCAGAATACTGAAGGCACCGTCTCCTGCAGGTATTAGTGTCCCGAACAAACCTGTAGACCTAATTCTGCAAAGGGGAGAAACAACCAAGCCTCTGGCAGCCAGTGATTGGGTTTGGGAGGGAAAGCTATTACTCTTTCGTATTTTTCCCAGCCAAGGAAGTCATATGGCAAGCGAGATGGTCTTTACTGGAGGAGCTGGTGGTACCACACAGATGTTCTCTCTTCTCTCAGTTCACCCCTCTCCAGCGACAGTCACAGTGTGAAACACTGCACATATCTCATTTAGCTACAGGACTGTGGGAAGTATTATGCTCCAAGAGTTTTCATTCCTTGATGTCTATAGTGTCAAGTTTGGGCTGCTGTAACAAAATGGCAAGACACAACAGTCATTTGCCACAATGTGGGAGGCTGTGGAGCTCGATCTAAAACCGAAGTGCTGGAGGATTGGATTTCTGACTAGGGTCTGCTTCCTATGTCCTCAGAGATGGGAAGAGAGAGCGAGAAGTGCTGACATTCTCTTCTTACAAAAGCTTAATTCTACAGTGGGGCTCCAACCTGATGATCTCATCTAGACTCAACCACCTTCCAAAGGTCTCACCTCCAAATCCACTCTGAGGGAGTTAGCACTTCAACCTATGCAGTCCATCACACCCAGTCCACAACGGCGTTATTCCCTGGGCCCCAACCCATTTCTCACTCCCACACCAAAGCTTTGCAGCTGTCCTTCTTGAGCCATTCCTGCCCCGAGCTCCTGGCATCAGCCTCTTCCTTCCTATAAGAATTGGGGTCCTAGGTCTTGGCTGCTCCTAGGATTCCTGGCCTGACCCTGGGCGTAGAATCTACAAAGACATCAGAATTCACAGAATGTGATTCAACGACTGGAGAGCAAAATATTGCGTTAAGATGTTAAGACGCTGTTTCCCACCAAGTGTGAACAAGAAGCTAAGAGGTAATCTGAGGAGTATCTCAGACGTAGAGGCATTCAGGAGCTTGAATTGAACTCTTCCTTAGTGGGTAGCTGAGAGTTCCTCCTCTACATGGCTTAGTTGTCAAATGGCGTTTTGATGGGGTGGAGTGTGGGGAAGTCTGGGGAGCATGGCACCAAGCGAAGGTTGGCTCAGAGGAAGGTCTCTGAGCCACTCGGTGAGCCATGTGACATTCTTGACACCCTTGGGACACCACTGCCTTAACTTCTTCATATTCAAATACAGACTATAACTTGAACTGTCTCCTATAATTGGCTTACACACAGAAAGCTGGGTTTTCCACACTGGTTGAGCCACGGAGTCCTGCAACTTGGGCCCATTTTCTTCCCCTAAGTTGCTGTGGATGCCATCCTATTGCACTTGGTCACAAAAGGTTAAAAGGCAATAGATGTGTCCTATGGAGTCTTTGACCTCCCCCAACTGACTTGATGGAGAGTCCAGCTAATTCCAGTGACCCACCTCCCCAACCCATACCCTAGGGAGTCACAGAGCACGGTGACCCACCCCCTCTCCACTTGCATGGTTTCACTTCCCACAGCTTCAGTTACAGCGATAGCACATAAATAGCAAATGGAAGATTCCAGAAATATCTCATTGTTCTCATGCCACACTCCTCCATCTCACCTGAGAAGTGAATCACCTTTTGTCCCCTGTATCTGCTCTGTATACACTACCTGCCCATTACTCAGTTAGAAGCTGTTTAGTAGACTTTTCACTACTGTAAACTTTGAGTAAGGTGAGACAATGGGACCATAGCGATATTCTGCATGGGCACAGAGTTATGCTTTTCAACTATTTGTTTTCATTTGAAAGTAAAATATACAGAAATACAGAGAGATCTTCCATCCACTTACTCACTGCCTAAGTGGTCACAGAAGCCAGAGCTTCTTTTGGATCTCCCACAGGGGTGCAAGGGCCCAAGGACTTGAGCCATCTTATGCTACTTTTCCATACCATGAACAAGGAACTGGGTAAGAAACGGAGCAGCCAGTTGGGACTGGAACCAGTGCCCACATGGGATGTGAGTACTTCAAGCCCAGGATTAGCCTTTTGAGCCACTGCCTCAAACAGAGCTGCTTTTAAACTGTTCTCAGAAAATGAACGCTGCCTTCATGGCTTTTGGTCACATAATGAGACCCTGATTTCTTCTTAAACCTAGTTTGCAGGGCTTGCATCTTCATCTGATGTGTTTGGCGGAGATGATGTCATGTTCACAGCATACCTCTGCCAAAGCCACAAACAGAAGCTCTAAATTCTACCTCTGTGAGCGACAAAGGTTCACCGAGCCAACATTAAGCTGATTCTAAGGGCAGCAGATGCCTCATAGTCCTCTCCAAGTGGATCCCCTCTACCATGGCAGGATCTAGGAGTCTGGAGGGGCTGGTGCCAAACCCCCAAATCCAACACAGCGACATGACGTGGTGGCAGATGTCGTCTTTATTAGAAGCTCATGTATGTCATCAGAATAAAACTTGACTCCTAACCTGGAAGATGGATATCGCCTATCCCTCCCGCTGTACTTCCAATTCCTCCAGCTTCATCCTCAGACCAGCCTGCCCTCTTATAAGACTTTATGCTTCAACTACGGCTTGTTCCTGGACTCTGCAGGCTCTGAGTAATTCCTGCCTTCCTCTGATACTCATTTCTGGCAGAGAATTGCACCATGGTAGCATCTGATTAGACCCTATGGCTGCATTTCTTGATTGTTCATGGAATTCTCTAGAGCAAGCTCTTCAGAGACAAGAAGAGGCATCTTCTTAAATTCCTCTCTGCCTCTCGTGAGGTGTCACAAAGCACCAGAAACATCCGAGGCTTGGCACCTTAGACTCACTGAACAAGGTGGGGAAGATGTGACCAAGAGTCCTAACCAGTGTGAAAGGATAGGAGTTGAGGAAACAAAGCCCACAGCAAAGCATTCCACAGTGAAGCAAAGGAGCTCCCACTGTTCCAATCCGACCGTGGCTTCCTGAAGGCTGGAGGAATACAGCTCCACAGACACAAAGGTTACTGTGCCAACCTCCGTTACTCCTCTAACACATACATGACAGCCCAGGTGTGTGAGTGTGCATGTGTGTGCGAGTGTGTGACTGTGTGCTTGTAAGAGGGAGGGGAAGAGAGAGAGAAGCTATAAAACAGAGGAGAAAAGATGAGGAAGATGGCTGAGATGTTGAAAAGAAAGAGGATGGAGAGGGAAATCAAAGAGAGTGACCACTATTTATAACCTTACAGTCTCCAGTGCCTGTGTTCTTACAAGAACACTTAACGAAAGTTATACTTCCTCAAGGAATACTGTCAGGATTTAGTCTTCCTGTATAGTTGCAATATTCAAAATAAGACTGGTAATTGGGTCATCTTATTAGCAGGGAACTATCACTACGCTGTTCAAAGAGCTTCTGGTTATCTCCTTACAACACGCTGGCGGTGTAACCAGAGGGCACAGATGGTAAATAATGAGGCCACTTGTCTGCTTCCTTCAGTGGATTTGACTCCACTGGCAGCCTCTCTCCGTGTCCAAACTGGAGACAGCAGACTCCAGCGTAGAATACCGGGCACATTCATTTTCATTAAATATTGTCCTCCCCACCTCCCTCACTCCTTATTTGACATACTGAACAAATGTCTGAGAATTTATGTGGAAAACACAAGGAGTGTCCCCACTGCATTATCCTGGAGTGAAGATGGCGGCTTTTCCTGATGAAGTAAAGTTCCAATTACCTGGCTGCTAATGAGCCAGGCTTAGTAAGCAAGTCTCCCAAAGGCCAGACATCAGTGGAAGACAAAAGGGCAAAGGTACAAACGCAGACAAAAACAAGACTGGAGGCATAGTGGGGGCAGAGGAGGAGGGCAAAAGGCAGGCCCTCCTGTGCGAATGTTCCTGTGACAAGACTCAGCCCTTGCTAAGGTTTCCTTGTACGACCCTTCATGCTGTGAACAACTCTTTT